ATATATATGTATGTATATATATATATATATATATATATATATATGTATGGATCTAATTAATTGATATTTGTATTTAATTGCAGAGCGGTGTTGAGAAGATGGAATCAGTGGTTGGAAGCCTGTTTTTTGGATGGATTCTTGTTTACTGGCTACTCTAGAGATGTATATTATATTTTTGATTCATATGTGCATGGGCTCTTATATATATATGTTACCACTTGTTAACCGGTGCACCCACATTATCGTTTCTTAATTTCATTCTATATCAAACTACATTTATATAATATAGTTTATTTGGATTCTTTGAGATATTATTTCTCTTATTTTGTATTTTCAACTACTCATTTTTATGGTTATTATCATTTAACTGCTATCCTTAACTTTTTGGAGGTTTGAGAAAAGTTTGCTTCAATTAGTTATGCTAAACTACCTTCTAAAAAAGGAAAAAACGATAATGGAGAAATCTGTAAATTTGGAGAAATAGAGAAAATATAACATATCTGTTGTTTTGTTGGGGATGCTCTTGTTTGTTCTGTCTTTTATCAATGGTGCATAGTATTATGTTTGTTTGGAAAATGTAATCAAATATAGTGGAAGAGGTAAGTTCAAACAAAAATGCTAAATATCATGAGAAGATAAGTGATATAGAGAGGCTAACAAACAAGACTGGAGGGTGAATCAAAACCGGGAAAAACCACAAACAAAAATATAATCAGATATAGATCGTTTTTTTGATGTTACGAAGGTTCCCGAAAACAAATAGACTAAGATGCTAGCTATCCGTTTGGAACGCACCGCCACCGTTTGGTGGGATAAATTGGTGGTACAAAGCAGCGACAGCGAAAGGGTCAATTCCGATCATTAAGGTGAATAAAACAAATTATGTTGGAAAGGTTTCTACCCGAAGACTACAAATAGATTCTTTACAAGATGCATCTTGAAAATGCAACCACGGTACAAGAACCATGACATAATACATAACCGAGTTCCGACATCTCTTCGAACGCGACAAAATCGGATAACCCGAAAGCCAAAGAGTAGCTCATTACATAAGTGATTTGAAGACATCGATTCATGACAAGGTTGGGCTTCAAAATGCTTGAAGAAAGGAAAAATTATCAATGTGGACCCGAACAAGATCAAAGTTTTGCCTTAATCAAAGAAAAACTCAGCACTGCTCCCGTACGGGAGAATTAAGTGTACACCTTTGTCGAGACAAGACTTATGCCAACTTGAAAGAAAGTTACTTTTGGTGACAATTAAAACGAATCTATTGTTCAAAAATGCTATACCTGCCAAACACCAAAGTGTCGGTCTTAAAATATCGATCTCTACATGCCTTTACTGATTGATCCCTAATGACATTTGGCAAGATCTCTCTATAGATTTTGTTTTGAGACCTCCACGTACTCAAAAGAAGCGTAGACTCCATATTTTTCATGGTTGATCGTTTCTCGAAGATGAGCCATTTCATTGTTACAGATTATTAAGAATGTGAAATTAAGGATCGGTGTATATGTAAATCATTGAAAAATCCAAATAAATAAAAATGTCAGAAAATACATATGTAAATCATTGTTACAGATTATTCATATAGGTACACATATGAATCTTCACTTCTTACCTTCTCACAAGATTTAGTATTTTTAAATTATAACTTACAACCTTTAACCCTTTCAAGTATGTATATAGTATCTAGAATTGTAGTAATTTCCCAACAAAAATGATTAGGGGTGTTCAAAAAATCGACCACCTTGGCCAACCCAACAAAACTCAACCTGATGTAGCCTAACACATAGTTGATACAAAATTAGGCCAAACTGCATTTATTGGTTGGAATTGGGTTAGGATAATTTGAACTCAACTCAACCTGATGAACTTGATGCCTTTTTATACTACACAATTAATATAATTGGTAACACTACAAAAATGCTGGGTATCAGCGAGGGAAATTTCCTTCGCTGATCCGTCGCTGAAAGGGTTGTCCGTCGCTGATCCGTCGCTGATACTCCGTCGATCAAACAGTCGTAGGTAATGCTATCAGCGACGGAAATCAGCGACGGATTTGCGACGGATACTTACAGCGACGGATCAGCGAGGGACAACCCTTTCAGCGACGGATCTGCGACAAATTTGCGAGGGAAGTATCAGCGACGGATTTGCGAGGGAAATTTCAGCGACGGATTTGCGAGGGAACTTTCAGCGACGGATTTGCGAGGGAACTTTCAGCGACGGTTTTGCGAGGGAAATATCAGCGACGGATTTGCGAGGGAAATATCAGCGACGGATTTGCGAGGGAACTTTCA